ATGAAGCAAATTATAGTACATCCACACAAGGAATACTATGCAGCAATAAAGTAAAACAAGATAATGAGGAAATTATTTTTATGCCATTGTACAAAATGTATTCTAGGGTGTCTAACCTTGTTTAGCAAAAAAAAGTAAGATGGAGGACAACATATATAAATGCTTCCTTTTGGGGGCCCCTGACTAGCTCAGTGAGTAGATCACGTCTCTTGATCTTGGGATTGTGAGTTGAAGCCCCACATTGGTGTAGAGATTACTTAGAAAAAAAAAATCTTAAAAAAATGCTTCCTTTTGAATAAAAGAGTCAGAATATATTTGAATTTATATACATATATATATATAGAGAAATCCTGAAAGGGGGCACCTGGGTGGCTCAGTCAGTTAAGTGTCCGAAAGCCTGTTTAGGACTCTCTCTTCTTCTCTCTCTGCCCTCCCCTGCTTGTGCTTTCTCTCTCTCTCTCAGAATAATTAAATAAACTTAAAAAAAAAACCTGTGTGGCATTAAAAAAAAAAAAGAAATCCTTAAAGTCTTCCTAAGAAAGTAAGAATAGTGATTAACCAGTGGAAATAGGACCAATGACAGGAATTTGAGGGAACTTTGTATTGTATACCTTTTATATAGTTTCTGGCATTTGAACCATATGACAAACCATTAACTATTTAAAATTAAATTATAAGACTTTTGGAGAGTGGAGCACCAGCAGATTTAGAGACTGTTCATTTCATCAATTTTTTAAACCTCCATTCCATTCTTTTAGTCCCTAGAGCTAAACTCCTCCCCCCTTTCTCTTTATCTCTGATTGGCATGAGTTTCAACTCACAAGAAATATGCATTAAGTATGCTTAAAGTACAGGGAACAGTGCTAGGTATTGGGGTCCCCAAGGTACAGAGCTGAACAGGACATAGTCCCTTGAAGTGGTCCAGGGGAATTTTATCACTCTTTTTAGTAGCTAGGACAAGAATAAAAAATGTTCTCTCCTTTTCCTCTTCTCCCTCCCTTCTTATAATCTTGCAAAATGCTGGAAATTCCTACTTAATTCTCCTCCCCCTCACCTGGAGAGCACTAAGGCTCAAGAACTTTCCATCAGGTCCAGACTGGAAGACCTCAGGCCAGGGCCAAGACTCAACTTGCTTCCCTTGGGCCCCTGGCGCCTTGTGAAGGTTCTTGGACCTCTCAGATGCTGCTGTGACTGTGGTTTCCGGCTTCCTGAGTTCTCACACTCAGCTGGGTGCTGCAGATATCATGCCCCAGTTCCTGCTCTGGAGACTGACAGGCTCAAGCTTGGTGATGCTCTGAGTATATGGGGTCTGTTCAGTATGAGTCACAGCTAAGGGGTTTGATTTCTATTTTAGTTTTCCCCTTTACTCTAGACAGACTCATTGTAAATACCTTGGGGTTGCATAAGGACAGAGTGTAAAGGTTTGCTAGCTAGAGGCTGAGAAAGATTAGTTTTCTCTAATTGAATATCCTATCTCACTTAAGGCTTTTAGTTCTGCTTCTCTTTAGTCAAGGACATTTTGAATACTCCAGGTGATGACGAATCTAGGAAGGAAGCAATCAGAAAATCATTTATATAGAGCTTTGCAGTTTATAATACATTTTCTCATATGCTATTTAACCTAAATGTGACAATTTAAGAAGAAAAGTAATGAAGAGTAATGAAGAGTAATGAAGAGATGCTTACGGAGTGAGAGGACTTTCCGTGTAGCTACTGAATGCCTCTTGTGCTGCTGTATACTTTGGGTGTATGCACGATTTTGTTGTGGAGCTGTCATTTTACAGGCTGAAGTCAGGATTCTAAATTGGTTAGATACTTAGCAGGAGAGATTCTACTCTGTGGAATTGAGGCTGCTTTACATTCATTCACTTATTCACTAATTACAACTATTAGTTGAATGCCTATTTTGTATGAAGAAAGGATCTAAGAAATAATTGGGAGGTTGAGACCAACTACTAGTGAGATGCTGAAGAGGTTCTTAAGGCCCAAAGATGGATGGTGCCAGGGAGGCAGTGGTAAGACCAGGCTTTTGATCAGAATTTGGCAAATGGAGTTCTGTGACTAGCAGCCAGTGAACATCCAGTTTAGAAGAAGCTGGCAAACCAGGTTTTGCAGGAATCAGAAAGAGTTTAACTCTCAAGATACTTTATTCATATCTGCATCAAGTTATTTTTGCCTGGCCAGCATCAGTTCTCCCCTCCCTCCCCAATTTGCGGGAATATCCTTAGGGGCAGATTGTGCCTCTCCTCTTTCCCTGGCAGCTTGAATTAATTCATGTGACCTGAGATTGACCAATCAACAGCGGCTCCTGGCCAAGATTTTTTTTTTTTTTTTTTTTTTTTTTGCCTTTTAAGTGAGTGACTCAAAGACAAAAGGATGTTAGGATTCAATCCCAGCTGTGGTGTGTAGTGCTGCTGGCAGAAGCAGCTGCTTCTTGGTGAAGCTCCTTTTCTGTCTGCTGATTTTCCAAGCCTGCCCTCCTCCATGCTCTAGGCCCTTGATATCCTTTTTTTTTTTTAAGTTTATTTATTTATTTAGAGAGAGCGAGAACGCATGTGTGAGCAGGGGAGGGGTAGAGAGAGAATCCCAACCAGGCTCCGTGCTGTCAGTGTAGAACCCCAGGTAGGGTTCGATCTCACGATTGTGAGGTCATGACCTGAGCCAAAATCAAGAGTCCAGCTGCTTAATGTACTGAGCCACCCAGGTGCCCTGTCCTCAATATTTCTGTAATATAGTTCTCTTCTGCTTGTGTTGGCAACAGTGTCAGTGATTGTACTTGCAACAGTCAAAGAGAATTTTAACTTACAGGGGTGCCTGGGTGGCTCAGCCGGGCAAACATCTGACTTTGGCTCATATTATGATCTCACAGTTTGTGAGTTTGAGCCCTGTGTTGGACTCTGTGCTGACAGCTGGGAGCCTGGAGCCTGCTTCAGATTCTGTGTCTCCCTCTCTGCCCCTTCCCCGCTCACGCTCTGTCAATCTGTCTCTCAAAAATAAACATTAAAAAAATTTTTTTTAAGAATTTTAACTTACAAATTGTGAAGATTTTTTTAAACTTTTTTTTAAGTTTATGTATTTATTTCAAGACAGAGAGAGTGAGCAGGGGAGGGCTAAGAGAGAGACAGAGAGAGAGAATCCCAAGCAGGCTCCTCACTCTCAGTGCAGAGCCTGATGTGGGGCTCAAACCCATGAACCGCGAAATCATGACCTGAGCTGAAACCGAGAGTCGGACACTCAACCGACTGAGCCACCCAGGTGCCCCCAAACTGTGATGATTTCTTTTCCAGGCTTTGAGATCCTTGAGAGTAGGGCCCAAATGTCATTCTGCCCTGTGTCTTTGGTGCCCAGTTCAAGCGTGGATCTCAATGCATACATATTGAATAAGTGAAGAAACATGTTGTATTTATGCAGGAGTATTGAGTCTGGGATTCTTGACATTACTATGGTTGTGCGACAATAAATTCTCCATATGCCACAACAGCCACTAACATTTGAATGATTTCATGTTAAACCAAGAAGATCCTGGGAAGGTCCTTTCTTAGCTGTATTGGAGCACTTAGCTGAGTTTATGCAGGTGGTTCTGGTCCTCAGATTCCTGAAAAAAATTTGTTTACAATGGAATATTTCACTAATTTGCGTGCTATCCTTGGGCAGGGGCCACACTAATCTCAGTATTGTTATCATTTTTGTATATGTGCTGCCAAAGTGAACACAAATGAAGCTTTTGTCGCTGGTTTCCCAGAACCTCTTCCTAAGCACTGCCCTCCGCCCCAAAGTAATGCCCTCTTCAAGCCTGATAGGCTTCTCTTTCCCTTTCATTCTTTCCACAGATACACATTGAATATCTATTATTCGTCAGGTTTGACAATTCAGTTGATATAAGACAGCCCCTAATTCTAATTTACGAAATAGACAAATACAATCAAGAGAACAAATGAAATAATTAAAACTGTGTTAAGTGCTTTGTTGAAAATGAACAGTGATAAGGCAGAGAGTAATTGTCATGGGGCAGGCATGTGATGGAGGGAAGCTCTTCTAGATAATGTAGCCGAAGAGAGTTTCACTGAGGAGATGATAAACTGAGACCTGCATGATGAAGAGTCAGCTTTGCAAAAAGCAACAACTTATCCAATGACCCAGGAGCTGGAAAAGAACTTAGAAAGAGCCATAGAAACTGACAGAAAGTCAGTGTGGCCAGAGGATGAGCAAGGATGAAGGATGCAGATGAATAGACAGATTGGTTGTTTTAAGCAGTACAGTGACATAATCGGACTTACATTTTACAAAGTGCAATCTGGCTGCTTGGTCTTTCCAATGTAAAATAAAGTCCTCCTTGGCTCATAAATAACAATTGTTTAGCACCTCTCCTTGGGACTTCCCAAATTCCTTTGGGAAAACATTTCATACTCTTTTGGTGTGGTTGCAACTCTGATCTCGCTCCCCAGAGGCAAACTACAGGTCCTCTCCACACCAGCAGTTGGAATCCTTTCCTAGGAGTTAATGAGGCGAAGTAGAGAAGGTATTAGTGCAAAGACCCCGAGGCGGCAAGCAACCTGGCTTGAGCAGAGAACGTTTGGAAAGCGGGATGTGAGAAAATGTGAGACAGGTAGGTTAGGTTCAGACTTTGAAAAGCCTGGTTGATAGGCTACCATGAAGATTAAGATTTCAATCCGAAGAACAGTGAGCAACGGGCCTTGAGCCGGGGATGGCTGTGATTATACTTGAGTTTTGAAAAGCTTCCACCTCTGTATGTGAAGAACAGATTGTAAAGGAAAAGGGTGATGCGATGGAGGGGACCACCATTATCTAAGAGAGAGGTGGTTTAGACTGCAGTGTTGGCAATGGGATGGAGAAAAAGTGGGAGGCTTCGAGACGCATTTAGGAGACATTATTCACAGGTGATACATAGTGTCCAGTCCCAGGCTTCGTGTAACCTCAGTGGTTATGGGTGAGTGGGGACTTCGTGCTGTGGATCCGGGCGCCAGCGTGGTTCCCGCGCGTCAGGGCAGGGGGCGTGGCCCGCCGGAGCCGTCGCCACGGGGATCGGGCGGGGCGGGGCCGAGGGCGGGGCAGCTGGGGCGCTGCGTCACTCGGTGGTGGCGATGGTGCGAGTGTGTGGGGGGCGGGGGATACGCTGGGCGCGTCCCGGGGGTCACGTGGTGCGCAGCACGCAGAGTCCTTCTGTCGGTTGGTCCTGGAGCGGCGCAGCCGGAGCGGGGCTGTGAGGTGAGCTCGCGGCGAGGCGCGGCGAGGAGAAGCCGGCTGGCCGGGGCCGGGTTGGGCCGGGCCCACGCCGTGCGCGCGGTGCTAGCGGGAGCGGTGACGGCCTCCACCGCTGCTCCTGCCCGGCCTCGCTCCCGTCCCGGCCCCGCTCGCCCAGCCCGGAGGGAGGCCCCGGGACCGCTGTTGAGAGCGTGGCGGGCGTGCGAGCGGCGCCCAATCCCCAGGGCTGCCCTAGGGAATGACGGCGGCCGCGGCCAATCAGCGCCGCCCGAGGGGGCTGGGCCGCGGGGTGCGGGCTTGGGGCGCGGAGCGGGCCGTGTTGGGGGTGGGGGGTAAGGGCTAGGGCTAGAACCTGTGCTGTTGTGGCCCCCGAGAGCTCCACCACCAGCCTCTGCTGTTGCCTTGTGCTTTGGGAACGCGTTTTCTTTTATTCAATCTTTTATCCTATTCTGGGGAGCACACCCCTTTCTCAAGCCCCTGACTATGGGAGTGTCCCCTTTCTCTATAGTTTAGAAAATGTGGTGCACCCCCTTTCTTAAACTCCAGCCCTGGGGTTTTATCTTAATTTCCAAAGCCCCTCAAACTGAGGATGTACCCCATTTCCCAAGCACCCACCCCCAAACTGGGAGGACACTCCCTTCTCCGAGCCTCAATTCTGAATACGCACTCCATTTCAAATTTTGGGGTTTGCCCCATGATTGAGTCTCAGATCTGGGGTCCAACAACCAACGTTTTGGGGATATCTATATTCCCATAAATCCAAGGAAGAATCCCGTTCTCCAGGCCCCAGATCTTGCAATATGCTTTCCAAGATTTCTTAAATTTGGGGGCCACTTCATTTCCCCAGCCCTTCAAAAGTGGGGGGTGCACCTCATTTCCAGAGTCTGCGATCCAAATCCTGAAGTTTAAAGATAGATATTTGCAGTTGCACAAATAAAGGAATTCACTGCTTTTTCTAGTCACTGTATTCTTGGGGTTGCACCCATTTTCATGAGTTCCTCAAATTGAACTACCTTATTTCCTGGAGAGATTGGTTTTCATTCTGAAAGTGTATTTATTTCCTGTACCTTCAAGATGTACAGAGTCCACCCTTTTTGGTTACACAGTTCTCAGGGTGCAGCCACCTTCCTGATGCTTATTAAATCTCAGAGGGCACACATATTTTCTGTCCTCTCATTTCCCGGCCATGATCCTTGGTTCTTGAGCATGTCTCCTGTTCTTTTAGCTTTTCTGCTATGCAAGACATTCTCATTCCTCAGTTTCCTTTCCTCTTTGGAACCCCATTTCCCTTTTAGGTGCTCTCCCTGTTGGTCAGGGCACCCATTTCCTCTTCCTTTGGTGAATGCGTATCTTTCTTCAGCACAGCACTTTCTCTGCTTCTGTGGCCTTTTTTCTGAGCACACTTCCTATAGTCACACCTCCTGAATTCCCCTCCCCTAAGGGGAAGATTCCCCCTCCTAAAGGGTGCCTGCATGTGTGTCTACTTTATCTTTTATCTTTCTGTTTTCTACTAACAGAAACTCTTCTGTCTTGGTTCGCCTTATCCCATTTTCTGCATTTTTCTGAATCCTAACTCTCTTTGGACGCCGCTCTGCTTACTGGTGTCTTTAGAGGTTTTCCCTTTTCTACTCATATGGGAGGTGTGGCCTCAGGTCCAGGACTGCCTTACCCCCCAGCATGGGTTTAAACTGGAAAGGAATCCCTTCGCATTTCTTTGGTTGTTCACAGGACTCTTTATTATCTGGGTAGTTTGCTTCCTATAAGATTCTGGTTAGATGGGTACTGTTTTCTTCTTTGCTTTTTTCCCCATATTGGGAAAAAAATCTGAAGAGATTCTTCTAGTCTTGCTTCCAGCTCATTAAGCTTCCTCCCGACTTTGGCTTTCTTCTTTCCTTTTATCAAGAAAAGAGGTCATTTGGAGGAATCTCTTCGTCACTCTTTTTGTTCTTGTCTCTGAGGTGCAGGTGGGGGATGGATACTTATCTCCCCCCATCATTTTCTCACATGTCTGCCAAGCCTTGTTCCCAGTCCCCACCTTAAAATCTCTAAGTATCTGGGACCTCTTGTCTCTTAAAAGCCTCTCAGTAGGTTCTTTCTTTTGTATTACCCTCTGCCTTTCCAGATCTTATTCAGGGCTTCTCTGCCTGCACCCCTAACCGGATTAATTTCTCCACAGCTGGAATCCCAAGTGCTTATGGGATAATGATACATCTGACCTTTCTCCCTTTTGGGAAGTACTTGAGTGTGCAGCTGTATGAGGCCTCAGTGGGGGAGAGAGTTTGGGCCTGAGAAGCTACACTGTCAGGCAATGAAGGTACTGCATTTTCAGGACCAGGTCCTTCTGAATCTCATTTGGAGATTGGATGTTTGCCAAGCACCTGCTTCTTAGGGATGCTGGGGGATTTAATGATACTCCCAGGAACCTGTGGAATTAATGGGGCTTGTGGAGAAGTGCTCTGAACTCAATGTTGGAACTTGAATAAAATTAACCATTATTGTATTTCAGAACAACTAAGCTGTTTCATATTTCATGTTCATGAAGGCCCTAGAGCTAAGGTGTTTTATTTCAGGAAGTGAAATGTATCCCACATTTAGATCATATGGTCGTTAGTAAGTACCAAATTGATTAAAAAACATTGGAGGTCTGTCTCAGCAGTACCCAATAAAATATGATTACAGAAAGTGAGCAGGTATTTTGTCTCTTTATATGCCTGTTTGGTACTTTGGTACTGCTATATATGGTGCATTTTTAAAGTATTCTGCGTCAGTGCTTCTCAAACTTGAACGTGCACATAAATTGTCTAGGGGGGGAGGGTCTTACTAACATGCTTATTTTTATCTAATAGGTTAGGGTGGGACCTTAGTATCTGCATTTCTAATTCCCAGGTGATGCTAATGTAACTGAACTACACTTGGAGTAGTGGGGTTCTATACACAAAGCCATGGATATCTCTGGGAACAAAAAGGTGGTGGTTAGCCTTTTGCTGGGGTATTATTTTCCACTTTCTCTTTATCCAGACACATCCCTTCAAGTTTGTACAAGGCCATGGTCCCCTTCTGAAGACTAGGGAGTTATACTTAATTACAGTTATTCTAGCATTTAGCTTTTAAAACCATGGTTAAAATTTCTTTGGGAGTTTGAATTTCTATGTATTTTGTCAAATTTAAATGCTTAAATATTTGTTGCTTAATTGTGAACATAATTCTTTTTTTTTTTTAAGTTTATTTATTTGTTTTGAGAGAGAGAGAATAAGCGGGGGGGGGGGGGGGCAGAGAGAGGGGTAGACACAGAATCCCAAGTAGGCTCTGCACTGTCTGTGGGGCTCGATCTTGAGAACGGTGAGATTGTGACTTGAGCCAAAATCAAGAGTCGGACAATTAGCCAACTGAGCCACCCAGCCACCTCTAATTTTTTTTTTTTTTTTAAGTAAACTTTGTGCCCAACGTGAGGCTCAAATATACAACCCTGAGATCAAGGGGTGAGTGCTCTACTGACTGACCCAGCCAGGTGCTCTAGTTGTCAACATCATTCTTGACATGAAGTCTTCTAGTAAATAAATACTTCAGAGCTTATATAGTAGTTAGCCATCTTGTGTCTCTAATTCCTCACTTGTCATCCTACTATGGGTTGGAAGGAAGTCTGAGATACCCCAGGTTTTCAGGCTGATAGGTGTTGGAATTTCCAAGGAGTCCTTCTTGGTTTTCTAGGTTCTGGAAATTGGCCTGGGAAAGGCAGGTGCCTGGACCTTGGATAGAAGCTCCTGGCTTATCTCTGTATGAGAACTTCACAAAGGGGAATGCTGGTGGAAAGGTGACATTCTTTGATGGGGATTCTATGCTTGGGATGCTCTCTCTGTTTTTGTACCAACATCTCTATTTCTGAGTTTTAGTGGGTTTTTCCTCCCTAAATGTCTTAAGTCATCTGTACCTATTTCCCTGGCTGTCATCTGTCATGGCCTTTTCCAGCATGATCCTGTTCTGGGCCCTAATCAGGACAAACCTGAATGACTAGACTATTTTGTGTCCTGTGCCTCCCCCTCCCTCTCATCCCTCACATGAATGTCAGATCCTCTTCAGTAACGGATTTGATCTGGATTTGGCTCTAGTCCCAGCTCTTCCACTCACTGTGAGACCCGAGGCAAGTCACTTAATGCTAGTGGGCCTCATTTTCCCCGTTTGCAAAATGAGGGGCTGATTATCTCCAAGGTTTACCCTGCTCTGAGTCTTTGTTAGTACCTTGCTTAGAAACCCAGTGTCTGTGGGAGCATGTTGTTAGATCTGATTTCCTTCACGTGCTCTGTTGGGCAGGCTGCCAATCCTTCCCTCGTCCGAGTCACTCCTTCCACTGCCTCTTTTCTAGCCTAGGCAGCCAGCTTGTCCTCACACCCAACTTCAGCATACTTCTGCCTCCATGTCCTCTGCCAGTTCTATGCTTTACTTCATTCAAAATTGCCTAACCTTCTCAGTGTTCTTCAGTGTTCATTCAACGTTAGGTACGTCCCTGAATCACTAAGAGGGAGTCTTGTAGTTTACATACAACCATGTTTGTATCTCTTATCTGATATATATTTAAAAAGTGTTTTCTTCTCCTCCCCACCCCAACTTTCTTTTTTGCTTTCAATTACCAGGCTAGGCAGAATGAAATTTAAAAGGGAAGCAGGCAGTTTGCTTTTGGCTGGAGTATGAGGAAAGTGAGATGTAATGCTTTTAGTCCTCTTCTCCCAAAGGTCTTGCATATCAGTGGGGAATCAGCTACCTGGTACTTCTTCCGGGACTTGAAAGGTGCTCAGACTCCCTGTCTGTAATTTGAAAGTGTATCCTGAGTCCAAACACTATTTAAAAATGACTTCTAAGTGCTTTTCTTCTTTTTTTTTTTTAATTTTTTTTTCAATGTTTATTTATTTTTGGGACAGAGAGAGACAGAGCATGAACGGGGGAGGGGCAGAGAGAGAGGGAGACACAGAATCAGAAACAGGCTCCAGGCTCTGAGCCATCAGCCCAGAGCCTGACGCGGGGCTCGAACTCCCGGACCGCGAGATCGCGACCTGGCTGAAGTCGGCCGCTTAACCGACTGCACCACCCAGGCGCCCCTAAGTGCTTTTCTTCTTAATGACACACTCAGCCATAAAACCTCAGACAAGAGTTTGCTAAGGGGGATGACAAGTAATCTAGATTTCAAATAATTTCATCAGTGAGTAAAACTAATAGTTCTTTGAGAACACCTGATTATCTTCAAAGGCAGTTGCTGACACTGCCTAGAAATCAGGGCTCAAGGTTGTCTCTAACTCCCCAGTCTCCATTCCTTTTTAGGAGCTACTGGGGGGAAGTTTACAGTTTTCGTGATAAACATTCTTTAACCAAAATGTGTGCTTAGTTAGAGCCTCCTTGGTTGGATTGTAAGCTCAGAGAAAGGGAGGATGTTCCTGTTTTATTCATCTCTCTCAGCAATTGCCCCTTATAGGTTGTTAACTGACTAACCTTAACTTAGGGTAACCTACTGAAAATTGAAACCCCAATTTATAATGCTGTGACAGCTTTGCTAGGTCTTAGGCTAGGTATCCAGCTGTTCTTTGCTTTCTTTGACCAAATAATGGAAGTAACAAGCTTGCAGAAATCCCATAAAATTTTAGGAGCCTGGTGTGAGTCACTGAGCATAAATAGGGCAGTTTGTATGAAAGGGAGGTGGTGGATCCATG